TCTCTCTCTCTCTCTCTCTCTCTCTCTCTCTCTCTCTCTCTCTCTCTCTCTCTCTCTCTCTCTCTCTCTCTCTCTCTCTCTCTCTCTCAACTCTCCCTTCCTCTGCGTGTCTCCACCTCCTCGTACCGCATTCACTCCAATCGTTCCGACTCCCAGAACTCTAAGATGGATTGTCTTAGCACCGGCGCGGTCCTATCTCCCGTGCGTCTCAGTGGCCGGCAGCGATGGTATTACATCGGGTTGGATTTATATCCTTCGAAGAAGAAGTTTTCGGACGATGCACAACTTCACCGAATTTTCTTCTTCACGCAGAGATAAGTGTTCCTCCTACGAACAAGTTCCAATGATCTCTCCTTAGCTTATCTATTTACGCTCCTGTAGTCGTGAGCATCTTATCTTGGCCTTTAGCGACGCCCCTGATGATGAGTGGTCTATCGGCGCCATTCGAAACATGTCGGGCTTTGCCGACCAACCTCCCTCCATGCAGTCCAGGGTTTACTCTTGGCTATCATAATGCATGAGATTTGTGGTATGCTTACATCTAGTTTATCTCCGCCTTGTGACGTTTCCTTTTTTCATGTAAACACCACTCTCAATGTTTCCTACCTCTCGCCTTCTTATCTATCTACCTGTGTGAGTTTGCTGCTTCAAAATAATGGAATGGCTTAAAGTTCTTCTCTGGCTCCTAGACACTATCATTTTCTGGTTGCGAGTATTTAGGATTTTTTTCGAAATTTCTTATGGAACATTACGCTATGCTATTGCTAAGACTAGAAGAGAGGAAGACAACAGGCGCCCGAGAAACTCCAGACGATATTCTCCCTGTTGAAGTTCGAGCTCATATTTCCTATTTCTTATTTCTTCGGCTTATTACCCTCACCATCATTATGTGAGAAGAGTTGTGCAACTTTCGTTGCTATGCTCTGACCATTTCCTGTTTGTGTGCCTATGTCTGTATGCTTTATTTTTACACTCGGTAGCATCTGTCACTTATCTGCATACCTTCTTCTTCTTCTTTCATCTCTTTAAATTCTTCTTCTCTCCTATTTTCCTTTTTCTTCTCATCTTCTACCTTTCCTTTTATTCGTCTGTATTTGTACCTTGAGTGTTTTTACTACACTTGGTCGACGTGTCTTTTGCATGGAGTCTAACTGTACTCCCTTTTTGCTGTCCCTCTTACGCACAAGGCTGCCCACGTTGATTGTGGTTGAGCGGCAGCTGCCCACATCCCCGTGCTCCTTCACGGCCCAGTTGCATGTGATTTCAGGAGGCAGAGTAAAAGGGAAGGTATGACCCTGTGCATCTCTTCAGAGCTTCATACTCCTGTTCATTTCACGTCAGATCGTCAGCTTATACAGTCTTTGTGTCTGTCCTTCTTCTTCATACTTTCGTTCATTTCATTTCTGAACTTCATATCGTCTATTCTCTTAATGATGCTCATTTGTATGTATAAAACGGTTTTCACCTTTTAGCAGTGGCGGATGCAGTACCCAGGGTTCGATCCCTAGACCTCACCCGACCCATGTACAGTATATGTGTAGACCCCGAGAACTGAACCTGTGACCTGTGTATTCGTAGGCAGTTGGTAGGCCTGTCGTAGGTCCATAGGCAGCAGGGGTTCGATCTGTAGGTCTATAGCGTAGGAGTCTTAGTGAGTTCCGGAAGCTTAGCTGTAGACCTTCTAGAAGGTAGGCAAGTGGTCAAGTGGTCAAGTGGAGAGGCAAGTGGTGGACTAAACCGCAGTGCAACAACAGTACAACGTCGGTAGGATAGCGGTAAGTCCACAGTCAGTCAGCGGAAGGTCCAGTCAGTCCCAGTCCGGTCCAGCAAGTACCACAGAGGGACTGTGAGCACCAAGGGCCGATGGCAAAGGGCAGACCAACGAGTTTCTGAAGTATAAATCAAGAGGCAGCGCCCAGCCATTCATTCATTCCTGCGTGAGCCATGCGGAAGCGCTGACACAACGACTTGTGCAAGGAGGTCTGCAGATGAGCCCGGGGGACGCAGTGGGCTAGAGAGAGGGAGTTAGCATAGCGATAGGTTAGATGCAGCGACARCTGCCATAGCTGTAGTTAGTAGTGAGTGTGTGTGTGTG